CTATCTTATGATGTAAAATATGAATATTTATGCGCGCTGGAAACATGTTGTTGCAGTTTTCCCTCTTCAACTTAAACAAACGCGCTTGCCGTGTATTAAAATGGCTGGCGATTGAGACCATTGACGAGCAGCTATTCCTTCACGAAGCAAGGACGGGATAATTTTTTAGACAGAAAACGTTTATTTTAGGTTCAAACTGCCCATTTCTTTCGCTTTCGCTCTCAAATGGCTATCTCTAACTCTCCGTATTGAAATAAAGACAGTATATTGTGATTTATCATCTTTTCCAGCTTGACAGTTGCGCTGGATATAATCGCATAGGCAATGGCTGGCTGTGGTCTTTGTTAAGGCAGCACTGCGCCAAGCGACAGCTAGGGCTCAACTTAGAAAAACAGTTAAATACAACAAAATACGATCTGACAGCCTTTTACAGCCATTTGAAACTAAAAGTACCACATCTGTTTTAGTTGATAAATATGTTTTTCTCTTAATTAAAGACACTGAATCTATAGAATCGTCTTTTAAACCCGAGGGGGTGTGTATTGCTTTGTTGCACGGTGAACCCATCTGTTTGCTCGCTCCGCAAAGAAGCCATTTTAATGAATGAAGAACAGCAGCGCAAGGCAGGGCTTATACCAGTTACTATATATACCGCTCTATATGCTTGTACACAGGCAGAACGCTGGAATGCATAGTTTTAAACCAAGAACAGTACTTGAGTTCAAAATAAAATATTAATAAGGTATGCAAGATTTATCAAAATAAAGAACACTTTCTGTCATGAGGATGCATTCATGTGAAGGATGTTGAATAATTTTAGCTGATGGCCTTTCTGTTTTTAGTAGCCACTTTTATAGGCTACCACCACATCACATGCGCTGATATATAACTTAGACTGTGTATGAAGGTAATTCATGTCTGTGTGCATTAGACTAGAGTAGTCCAAACTTTTGCTTGTAATAAAAACAATCAATAAAATGTGTGTTACTAATTATTATTATTGCACAGTAGCCACAAAAGAATATGGTGGTGGTGGCACATTATATTTCCCAAAAACGGGCAGTGAACACCAATCAGTCTCATTAATAATCAGTTCACATCCCCCACGAAAGAAGGACGGGTCTGGAATTCCCTTTGTGTATCATCTTAGTTTAATAAGCCCTGCACCCCACTGGGTTTAGAAATGTTGTACCATCTAAAATACAAAAGCACAATGAGTGGGATTGAGTCGTGTTGTGTTTTGACTAGTTTTTAATAGCCACACCTGGCAGAAAAGGAAATATTCTTATTTTAGGTTGTGTTAATACTCTTTATTCCTATTATTTTAGATTAAAAAAAATACAGCAGAAGAGAAGACTTTAGTGGAATTAAGCCCCTCTCCTTTAACGAAAATGGCAAAAGGGGACCCCAGGAAGCCCAAGGGCAAGATGTCTTCTTATGCCTACTTCGTCCAGACATGCCGAGAGGAGCACAAGAAGAAAAGTCCTGAGATTCCAGTCAGCTTTTCAGAATTCTCCAAAAGATGCTCTGGAAGATGGAAGGTTAGATTTGCAATGAGATTTTCTAATATTATTTTCAAATATTACCAAAGCAGTGGTAAATTCTCTTGATTTGTTGCATAGGCAATGTCCGATAAAGAGAAATCCAGATTCGACGACATGGCCAAACAGGATAAGGTGCGTTATGATCAAGAGATGATGCACTACATGCCTGGAGGAAAGAGAGGCAAAAAGAAGGATCCCAATGCACCCAAGAGACCACCGTGAGTAGACATCCCACACTGAATTACCTCAATATTTAAAAAATTGTCTAATGGCAGTTATTATGAAGGCTATTTTGTTGATTTGATGCTGTATATGGCTATCATTGCTATTCTGTCAAATATATTATTATATTCTGGTGTTTAATTATTATGTAGGGGTTTAAAAGGATAGATTGCTGGTGATTAAATGATTATTTTTTAATTAAAATGTAACCGATTAAATGAAAAAATAAAAATGATTTTATTTACAGCATAAATAAGTGTTATCATTGCTCATGAATCATTATCTTTCAATTTTTGATGACTAATTTTATGTTGCCACCTTTTATGATCATCAGCTCTGGGTTTTTCTTATTCTGCTCGGATCATCGTCCACAAATCAAGGCTCAGTATCCCAGCCTGGGTATTGGAGATGTGGCCAAAAAACTAGGAGAACAGTGGAACAGCCTCACAGATTCCAACAAGCAACCCTACCTGATAAAGGCCAACAAGCTAAAGGACAAGTATCAAAAGGCATGTCTCCATCTAGATGCTTCAATAGTTTTTCACCATGCAACATATCCCAATTCCAGTGTTTTACAATATAACAATATTTACTTTTTGTGCAGGATGTTGCGGACTACAAGACGAAGGGCAAGGTTGGGGGTGTGTCCATGCCCATGCCCATGGCCATGGGAATGATGGCGAATTGTATGGCTCCAAAACCAATGGCGAAGAGCAATATGGATGATGAAGATGATGATGAGGAGGAAGACGAGGAAGAGGATGATGATGAATATGATGATGATGAATAGACTGTCATTTTCGTGTGTTTGATCAATTATGACTATAATAACTATTTCTCCCCCATTGAAGTACAGTAGATACGGAATACACTGGTGGTCTTTCATAGCCAGATGTTGTTTTAATAAAGGTGGAATTTTTTCGTACTGTTGGCGAGAGACTAAGGGGTATTTACACAACACCGTTTTCAACTAAAAACGGAAAACTTTTTATGCGTTTTGGCCATTCATCTACACTACAACGCCGTTTTTAAACTTTTGAAAACAATACGTTATTGCCTCTATGTAAACTACAAAATCACTAATTTGTGAAAACGTTGACACCATGCGCATGCGTATTACGTGTTCAGTCTATAGGTGCGTGCGTAGTGTTTCTTTACAAAGTGACATCGCCAACTACTGGCCTGGCATGTATAATACAGTGTTTTTGATCGTTTTAGCAGATCCATGTGAACGGGGATGCGTTTTTCGCATGTACACAAAAAAACACAAAGGAAAAACTTTTCCGTGTTTAGTACGTCGTTGTTGTGTAATCGTACCCTAACTACCACAGTTTCTTACCTCCAGCTTTGTGTGTGTGTGTGTGTGAGTGTGTGAGTGCATGTGCACATGTGAAGCTCTCACTTCATCATGGTAGCCCAGTGTCTTCCTAGCCCATGTTTTATCATTTTACCAATTGTATAACAAAAGGCCTTTAAACAAGTAATACCCTTTCTGTATATGTAAATCCCTGTCCTATATTTTTCTTTTCGTTTAAGAGGTTCCTGAGTGTGTAGCTCTGTATATGGTTGACACTGAGTAGATATTGTTTATGATTGTAATATGTTGCATGTGGAAACGTGTCACAGTTTTGTATACTGTGCACCGATATCAGACATTTCATGCTGAACCCGTTAAAGCTTCCTCTTCCTTGTCCAGTTTAGGAAAAAATCAGTGCAAAAGAGCCGTTGCCACCAGCACGTCAGTTAGTCCTGTTGCAGGGGTGTGTGCTATATGTTGTTTACTATACTATATGATATTAGCACATACAAGATCAATATAGGAAAGATATTTATATTATCTTTCTTATATATTAACTGTTGTGTGATCTAGGAATGTACCAATATAGAAATACTGAATTTTGTAAAATGTGGTCAAAATGTTACAATATGAAGCAGACGAGAACTTAGCACTATTGAAATATGGCATAAAAAGTATAATGTTAGCATTGGGGGAAAAAAATTATAATATTGTCCAAAATGGTCACAATATGGTGCATTCCTAGTTTGATCCTTATTTTTGTTGAATATAAAGTAAGAAACAATGCTGATGATAAATCTGTACTTATCTGTATCTATGATTTTCATTTTATATGTTTGAGGTTTGCAATTAAATTGAAACATTTTTATTTGTTTTGTATGACTGTATTTTGACCAAGAACGTGAGATAGAAACCGGACCTTACTGAATGTGGATTACTAAACAATATCTAGAATATTGTATTAAAAAATGGGTCTATGAATGATTTGGTACACAATAAGCCACAGATCCTTAACTAAAACTATCTAAAGGTTGAATGATTGCTTTTGCCCTGGCACCCAGTGATACTGAAATCTCAGTGCATAGAGTACATGATGTTTTGAAACAAACGTGTTTGAAGCTTATATACAGTTCTTTATTCTAAATAAGCTATGGTTTTTAAATTAAAAATGCAAATAATGGCCTCAGGTGCAATATGTCTAAGCTTAGAAAGGCATTCAAAGTTTAGTTCAGGGCAAACGGGCTATACGGTCCACCATGGTCCTTAAATAATCAAAGGTTAGACTATAAATCCATGATTTTCAATTTGATCACAAACTAAAATGTCCTGATTCTGATTCATATGTGTATGTTATGTACCGTTAAGTCGCTAGATGGCGCAATGCTCTATGTATACACGTTTTAGTTCATGGTTGCGTTACATAATGCCATCATGGGATTTTTCTTCTTGATAATGACATTAGTGACATACTGAAATTAAATGGGAGTCATGTGCAGTCATAAATGAACTCTATATTAGTTTGTCTTGGAGAAAATTAACTATCGGTTCCCAGTCCAACACAGTCTGTTGCTCTCCTGTTTAATGTCATATTCTCATCATTTTATTTTTTTAGTGGTGTCCGTTTAGAGATAACATTTATACGGTTGTTATTTAGTTGAAAATGCAAAAGCCTTCCAAATCCTGTCAGTTATATTGCAAACATATTTTCGCACTTTCTCCAAAGAACGCGGGACAGACTCTTGGTTACGCCACATGATACACGTAACGTAAATGTTATGTTTTAGTTTTTCCTCATACTGTACTAAGCATCACACGTTCGTTCTTAAAGACATTTCTGATTGGTAGCCCCTATGGCAAAGAGGGAGTACTTCGTGACCCGAGGATGACGTTCCATATTTCTCCGCATTTGATTGGCTACTCGCGGTGCTCATCAAACTCTGAGGCCAAAGCCCAGTCGCTTGGTGTCTGAAGCGGCAGCGAGCGGAGTGGGGCGAGAGGCTTCCGTCTCTGGGCTGAGGAAACTACCCTGCGAACGCCAGCGAGAGTGGCAGTGATTGAGGAAAGGAGGGACGCTTTATTCGAAGTCTCGGCTCAGTTAAATACCCATTACAAAGCATCTTCCCCTTATTAAAGGAAAAAGGCCTGCGGAGATGGGCGACAAGGCGGGGACCAGGTAAGAGACAGTTTTCAGCGCAGGTTCAATTGCTGCTCTGACTTCTAATTTTGAAGTCACGATATCATATTCTCACAGCGCATCCTATGATGAACAGTCGCACCAAACCCCAGAGGCTGGAGGGATGTCGTGGGAAACCTATTAGTCTATTTGAGTGATCTGTGTAGCCTACAGGATATGCATCGGCACTCGAAACAACCGCTTTTAAAAACATGATCACTGGACATCTTATGTACTTCACCCAGGGTGGGGTGACTGACCAGCACGCTATACCATAAATCTACAGCCCTTCTTGTACAGCCTAGAAAAGCAATTGCAACCGAAATCTTGAAGTTATGCGTGGGAGTGCGGCATAGTTGCTTTAACTGCTCGTGTTGTCTGCCGAGATCTGATGTTATCTTGTTGTTTGAGGACTCAAGTTGTGTGACTGTGATATTTTTTTTGCAGCGCTCGCTGCGGCTGGTCATATTTATTCTCTGCAATAACAAGCATTTACTACGACAGGTTATTATAATACTGCATGCATGTAAACGAGCACTGTTCATTATTTTCCTCTCCACTGTCCGACCGAAAAGTCTGTCGCACCCAGTGCGAGAAATTCCTGCTCATCACTACACTCGCACTTCCTCAACTTTCAGAAAAGGCCTCGACGTTTCCTGTTGCAGCAAACAGTGGGGTTGAATGTTACTAAAACTCATTTTAACACCTCTCTCTATGTGTGTGCGTGTGTGTGCGCGCGTGCGCGCAGAATAGGCCTTATAGACGCAGAGTAGATGGATAGTCGAGTCGTGGGCGACCATGTACGTGCGCTGAGTTTGATGAGTAACCCAGCAATCCTCTCAGTTGTGCCTTCAGTTCTGCTTACATGTCACGGCTCACACCATCAGGAGGAGAGGAAACCCAAGGGCTTTCTGGTTCCCGTGGATCTATAGGCTACATTTAAGGCTTTAACAGAGGTGTTTCAGTCAGGTTACCCTGTTTTGATGTTGATTTGACATATGACACAGTTAGTACTTCCACAATGCAGGCACGACGCCCCTAGCACCTGAAATAATTGTCAAATTTTTTTTTTTTAAAGATGGAACATTTTGTTTAACTTTTAGACAAAACGGTTTGCATATTTTGTATCATATACATCAAGCTTTTATGGCCTACTATAATATAGAGCTCACACTCAAGAAGGAAAAAACACCTACATTTTATCCAGAAGTCCAAACTGAGCAATAACATGCAATTTGGTGCATATGTTGTTATTTATATGGCCAAAAAGTAAGCTGATTTTCCTGTAGCTTGTCATATAAATTTAATGAGATTTTCATTAAATCAGGCTACTTGCATAAAATAAATATTAGTTGTCACTCTATAGCTGTCAGTATTGTCTTAATAAGATTATGTATAAATGCTAGTTTTATGACCAAAGCTGGGACAAAACACATAATGCAACGCAATTCAATGATGATTGAGAGATAAACTTTCCTTATAAGCCTGTTGTATCATATTTTATGCATACTAGAGACATTTTTAAAAAGGTTTCTCCTGGAATAATTGTAGAATGTCTATCATATATTAAATTGAAAGATTCTATGTTATTATTATTATTACTGTTGTTGTTATTGGTATATTTGTATGTTTTTTTTAAGACGAATTTGTTAAATTATTGTAAACAATGTATTGAAGTGATATTGTTATCATAATTCTATTTATTAATTAATACTGTTGATTGCCAGCCATTGCTGCTGATATGGTGTTAAATCATAAATAAATAAATATTATGCATACATTTTAACACGATAAAAAAAAAAGAAAAAAAAAAGATGCATGTATTAACAAGTACGCCTAAATTCCTTCAGTCCAGTAACTGGTTATCTTAAAATATTGCTAACAACAGTTATCTTGCGTTTGCTTTCTATAAAAATCATTAAAGTTTTCACAGCAAAAAGTCACATGTCCTGAAGGTGGACATGAATTAGGTATGAAAAATCAATCAGAGGGCAGAGGGCATGTACAGTAGTAGATTGTGTGCAACAGTTTTGATCATGACTGTTTAGAGGCTTTAGAAATTAATGTATTAAATATGATATCTTAGTATTTATAGGGTTCAACCTAACTTTATACCAAACCTGTATGGCTTTCTTTCCTGGCCAGAACACAAAGGGTGTTTCAATTTAGAAACCATTCACATTCATTGTATGGATAAAAGATGCATGTGAATGGTGAAATATTTACATTTTTGGATGGACTATACTATACCTTTTAACCTCTAGATTTCTCTTCTCAAGGCTTGGTTTTGCTGCTGAAATGTGAACGTTTGCTTTCAAAAGGAGAGCAGTGATTGTTGCATAGTTATTGTATTGTAATAAGATTAAATAGCATGACTTTTGTGCTTGGGGAGCAGTTGTTCATCAGCCCACTACAGAGCAGGCCATGCACAGCAAACTTAGCGTGTATTGATTGACACACATTCATAGCGCTGCAAAGCTGTGAAAGAGGCGTTTTATGTAGGTGTCATCGACCCTTCTGTGCTTTCAAATTAGCCTTGGGTAAATTAAAGCTCGCTACCACTCCATAATTGTTGTATTTATTATAATTTCTATTTATAAACATATTTTGCCACCGAAGACCTCATAGATGGAAATAGTATAGCCCTGCCTGTTTCTATAGGTAGATTCTGATTCAGCCTCTCTTGTGGTTCAGTCACTGGAGTTGTGGAGGCTGTCTGGTGTGGGGGTGGTGGGGGATCGTGCAGCTCAGTGCTTTGTGCTGGTCTTATGAAATCCCCTCTGTGTCTATATCTTTTTTTTCATGTTTGATAATTACACATTTTCCGGGCTAACGAAACAGGATGTATCAACAAGAGGCCAATACTGTGATATCCGTTTTTCTTTTCACATTTATATGCTTGCTTATCATAACATTTTTGTTGTTGTTGCTAAAACCAAGTTGCATCCATCCAAGTTTATTTATACAGTATTTGATTCTATATTTAGTAATATTTGTTTTGTCTTATTTTTGTGCCTCAATTATGTTGTCTGCTAAATTTTTCCAGGTGGAAAACTTTGGGTTACACTTTATTTTAAAGTGCCCCTGTTTCAGTGTAGTTATACATTTAAGTACTGAGTAATATTAATTACCAACATATAATTAGGGTTAGGGTTTGGTTTAAGGTTAGTTGCTTGTAATTATGCATAATAAACTGTTATTGTAAATTATTACATGGCTCTGTGGAATAGGCTACTTGATTCTGATTGGTCAATCGCGTCATCCAGTGGTATGTTATTATCCTCCGATAACAACCGGTTGGCGCTATACGCTTAAGATTTTTTTTTTGTGTGTGGAAGTTTTATGTTCGGTTAGCTAATAAAATATTAAAACTCAAATTAATATTTGTGTACAATTATTTATGTCATCCGGGCTTCGCAGACTCACTCTCTTGTACAAATGCAGCTGCTGCCATTTTGCAACGATTGTTTTGTTCACTGTAAGGAATTATAAGATAACAAATGGGTATAATTTTAAAATCGTTAACTTTCATCTCAAATCAATATCTTATACCCATAATTATTTATGTGGCAAAATGCCGTGTAATAAGTGGTATAGTCATACTGTACCTACCTTAAATGTCTGTCTAGTTTGAACTAGCCGCTTGCTAGCAACTGATTTCTTCGTGGTGCGTTTAAAGAGCTAATAAAATATATAGACTCAAGTCAATATTTCGTTTAATTATTTACTTATGTAACAAGTAGCCATGTAATAAGCGAGATAATGTACATCCAGCCGGTTGATATTGCAGAATAAACCCCTTCAGGGTGTTTGTGTTATTCTTTATTGAACTGATGCTTGGCGTATTTCATTTTTATTTATGCATAATAATGTAACAACTTTGTGCTCATCTCACAATCTTCAGTTTATTGGTTTGTTGTAAGTTTTTAAGGTTTAAGTGCAAGAAAATGTGGCTTAATAGTAATGCCCATGAGTAAATAACACAAATGTAGGGATGCGGCGATAACGATAACCGATAATTCTTTATTTAAAAAAAAATGAAAGCTGATAACCGATATATTGGCTGATAAATCTAAATCCACATTTTTAAATAATTGAGTGCCTGGTTACAAAAAAAAAAAGTCTCATGTCCCAATCACACAATCATAATGATGCTCTCATTATAATTTTATGTAGCCTATATGAGAGACTTGCGCTGCTTAATTGCATTTTTCATTCAAAGTGATTACAATCATATTTCAAGCAATTCAAAAACATCATGGTGAACAGTGCACATCTGAAGTGTCTCAGCTGAAGGAAATAATAGGCTACATAATTTATTGGCTTTAATATATCGGAACATTTTTATTATCGGACCGATAACGCTAACATTAAAGATGAACGTATATCGGCCGATGCCGATATGGTGGCCGATATATCGTGCATCCCTACACGAATGTATTAAAAGGAGCAACATTTAGGAAGCAAGCAATGGACAGCGAGGGAAGAAGAATGAAATGGAGGAATGGGAAAATAAGGTGTAGATAGAGGAAGGATTCAAGAGTGAAACGGCAGGAAAACAGTGTTTGCCTAATTTGAAACTTGTACAGCTGTTTTTAATACATCCAAGCCAAACTTTATTAGCTTGTGTTTATTTACGATGGCTATTCAGTCCATTCTCAAGGGGTAGAGGACAAGAGAGATTTGTAATCACAGGGAATCACTTTGGTAAGACCAGAACAGTTTAAATGCTGAACAAAATGTCATGTAGTGTTTTTGGATTTGCACCACCATACTTGCGCAATATCCTGCAGCTGAGTTAGTTTACGGCTGGTTAGTATATATTCCCCATACTCCAGCTTGTGTTGTGACATCTGCATGCTCAAACTCGTATGTTGTTGTCCTCTTTTTGTAGGGTGATTGATTGGTGTGGTCCATTAAATCACATCTGCATTAGTGCGATTAGCATGAGCGTGATGTATTGTTTTGTGCATGTTTTCACCTCTTCTCGTGTTCTAGTT